GTGTTTGTTTTTGATTCAATACAACACGAGCATTCCGCCTGTTCTTCTTCCTCTTCTGCTTTTGATATTGCTGTCCTCTTATCATCAATACTCTAGAAAGTTCGAGCTCTCCTTTGCACTACAGTAGCTGACCTTGGCTTGGACTTGTTGTACAGCAGAACGTAGAAGAATTGATATGCTGATGCGGGCAATTGTCAAGTTTCATTTTCGGCCTGACTTCTGTATTAGTCTGATCCTTCGTTCATGAGACAGCTTCATTTCCTTATCTTATCTTCAACAACTTCTTCTATATCCTTTTCAGTATTCGTAAGACCGCTTCCTCTCATTAGTTCCTTCACGTCAGCCCCTGCAGCACGTTCATTTCCACTGCTGTCAGTATTTCGAACACCTGCCCAATTCTTCAACTTTCCTGTCATCAGCCACCATCATAAGCTTCATCATCTTCACACAGCTTTCTTTAGCTCATCCTCTTTCTTCACGTCGACCCCTGCAGCACGCTCATTTCCACTGCTGCCAGTATTTCGAACACCTGCTCTTTTCTTCAACTTCTTCCTCTTCTCCATACGGTTGACTTTCAATTCATCAACTTCGGGTTCGGCGGCTTGTGCCAGTCTACCAGCTTCACAATTTGAGAATTATCAAAGCCCCACGTTATGGGCGCCATTTGTAGCGAGGGAATTTTAAGAGAAAAGAAGAAAGAAGGAATAAAAAAAACTGCTGCATCTTCTTTGCGGTTCATCAAACACCGGTGTCCACTGTTGTTCGGCTGGTTGTAGCAGAAGAGAGAGCAAATTGCTGCTGGGAGATCCTTGATAGTAAAGCTGGTAGAACAGGGGAGCTTGAGAGTCTTGGAAAAGATCCCGAGAGAGATCTAGAGATCAGATCCAGATGTAGTGATGGGATCCTGAGATAGATGTAGGTATCCAATAGAGATAGCTTTAGAGAGGGATCTTGATAGAGATCTTGAGATGACGTCCGCCTGGGAGATGTAGGTATAGATCCACCTTGCGTACAAATACATCTGATGGAAGATGCTTTTTAATTTAGAGGCTTGATGATTCTGTTCATTGTATAGACCATGATGCACGAGATGGTTCTTCACTGCTCGGATTAAGGATGGAGGGATCCGATCAGCTAGGTTTGCGGCACAGTTGGGTAGGTGAAGGACAGGGCATTTCGAAGTCCCGATGACCACTGCCAAACATATGGGTGGTAATTACATTGATAAATTGAATGTGATCATTCGTCCAGTCACCCATTCCTATATCACTGGCCTCCCCATTAAGAAAATTGCCCACTTAATTCGTATTAGCGTTGCTGGTTTTCGTTACGCCATAGGAGACGGGCAAACAAGCCGTCTGTGCCTCACAATGCCCTGTGCCAATATTGTTGGAGTAATTATTGGCGCTAACTCGCAAGACCGCGAATAACAGAAACGCATAATTTATCCGAACCTAATCGTAATCTCAAGTCCTAATTGCTGCTGCACGCGTGAACCTTATCATCAGTTCTCGTATACCATCCTAGCAGACCTTGAACCGCTCTTGTTTTAATCAGACATATGATCTAGAACCAATTAACACGCATCGATCTGCCGTCTGGTTGTGATCCACCGTATCATAGTGAATTACTGAATGCTCAAACGGAAATGACTCTTTGACACTCGTTCGATAGTTTCTGATGGGCTACTAGTTACCTATACAAATTATCTTTATAGAGTGCCAGAATATTGTCATAGGGGTCCCTAGCTTTTCATAGAAAATATAATTTAAATCATCCTATTAGCAGTAAACAATGCACATCAAACGAAATGCAGTCCAAGATATCATATAGCATGTCATATTTAAAATTATGCATTAACTGTTTACGTTCTTATCCTGTTGCAACTTTCCACAACTAACCATGCTCCTATACGTGACCTTCACCTACCGCACGCGCCCCAATTACGGCTAACCCACTGCCCCTGTTGTGGCTGCTTTTTACACCCTCTGGCGGCTCAACGCCCGCGTCGAGAGCGACGATACTGGCCGCCAGCTGGCGTCGCGTCGACAGTCAGTCAAGGCCACGCCGCGATGGGCGCGTCATCACTCGCGGTGTAGTGTTCGTGCGTGTTGCCTCTTCTGGCCGGGTGGATTCACCGGATGTGTCAGTGAGTGTGAATCTGGTAAAATATCGCTGCAATATCTCCCTGTTCGACATCTCATCAGCTCCATTCAACGTAAGTTTTTTTTAAATTAAATTCCTGTCCCATTTAATCGTTCCTCAACAAAGGTGGTCCTTTCTAGTATTTATTCTACAAAAGCACAACGATCGGCACCTATATTAGTCGCATATTAGTTCTAACCACAAATAATTCTACATCTACCTGTTACTCGACATTTCGCAATTTCAATGACGCAAAGTGACCATCTAAAGTCGCCAAGTGTCAAACCGTCAACCTCAAACCACTGCTCGCAACTCTGCACCTAAGTAACAGAAGAAATTCCGCCGTAAGCTCAAGCATTCGTATCTGTCGAAAATCATAACTCATAGCCATATTCATAGATCGATCGCATGAATCAGTCGCCACCTTAAACCATTACATTTCTTTCCAACCGTATTTACCTGTTCTATAATTGATTTCGACTCCACAATTAATTCCTATAGCAATATTACCAATGATTTCGCAATGCAACTTTTAATGAGTACAGCACGAATCTACACCCTTATTTTAACCAACATTCCAACCTCAAATCGCACTTGACTACCGCCGAGAATAAATCAAACGAACCAGCTTGGCCAAACACAAAGACATATTCATTATTCAATGCTGACACGCATCATGTCATCAATCTCAACGTTCGTGACAATGAGCTGCTTATTCAAATTTTAGCATCTCGCTCCCGGCCTAATCGTGAACTCCAACTGACGATAACATATTTGCTGGCGGCTCTTGCATGACTTCACAATTCAGATCCTAATGTGCTACTAGGGTGTCTGGACCAATAAGTTCAAAGTAATTTAAGTTTTCCAATTCCAATTGAGAGTGCATTTTATGGCAACCGAAAATGTTTGGCAGTCGTCACGGCACGGCAGGCTGGGCAGAGGGGGGGGGTCAAGGATTGGGATTGAGCAGACTTTTCAACAACACTCACATTCTGGAGTTTCCCTGTGCTTCCGCTTCTCAGTGTGGTCACAAGCGTCGGCGGTTGTCCTCCGGCTCTGGTCGGTCGAACTGAAGAGGCTTCTCGCGGGTGACCTCGGACTGACGGCGGCCTCCAGATGTCGTCTCCGGCTCCGGCTGCAGACTGTCACTCTCGGCTCCTCGACTGTGACCCTCGGCTGCTCGACTGTGACCCTCCTGGCTGGGTGGCGCACCCTTTTATAGTTGGGGGGAGGGGGTGACTGCCACGCCCTTGCGCCGTCATCTTCCTCTGCCTTCCTCTGGTGGGTGGGTCCGTAAGATGGCGCCCTCTATTCTGTTTAGTCACCTTACTCCTCTGTGCCTGCAATTTTTGGCCGTCGAATCGTCTTCGTGTTGAGTGCTTTATACTTAAATAATCGCTGGCATAAAACAATCCCCGAAAGGTTTGTGATTTTCGAGTTTTAATTTTGATTCTTCAATTTCATTTTATTCAAACTTTTGTTTCCTTCCGTTTCGTCTGCCGCCAACGCCCCTTGTGACGTCACTCTTGCTCCGCCCACTGTACCGGGTGTGGCCGAAAGTCAGCGCCTTCTCCCTCTGCGGAGATCTCTGGAACTACCTCATGAGGCCATTGTGAGGTTGGTCACCCGGTTGTTTTGCCAGGTTCACTCACCCTGGGTTGCTGTGCCCGACAAAGGAGGCTGTGTGCTCCAGCCGGCATCTATCCTTGACACTGCTCCATGATCTGTTGACATATCTTACTGATCCAGCGTTATTTGAGGAGGCTCGGATCGCTCATCCTGCGGTAGCTGTCTCCATAGGCGGGCGTTGTAATGAGAGTTTAACGGCTGCCCATTGCGAAGACCTCTGGAACTACAGCGTTTTTGCTTGCCGTAGGATCTTCCTGGTTGTGCCATTCCCACCGTGGGACTCAGCGCGGCGCAGCTGTTGTGGTACCTGACAGAGTACGTGACAAGTGACAGAGTACCTTAACGTGCTCGCTCGCCGCCGCCGCCGGCCGCAGTCCTGACGTAGCTTGTTGACTCAGCTGTGTCTCGGCGGTTCGTACTGATGTGACCGGCATCGTCTTCTCGCAGATGTGTCTACTGCGGGCTATTCTCACGGACAGTGCTCGTTGAGGGAGTTGGGGAAAAGTGCTGAATGGGGATGGCGGGCCTGGTGACGGGGGGGGGGGGGGGTAGTGAATAATGAGAGGGGAGGAGAGCGCAGCAGCAGCGCTCCGCTCAGCTGTGCGTCACCCGGTAGCAGCGACGGGTGTGTGAATGGAGGGCTAGGCCTGTGACCGGACTGCGAGGGGGGGGGGACTGCCAGACCGAGCCGTGCCGAAAAGATATTACGTTAAATGTTCAAGATGTAGCGTGCTACAATACCAAAAAGGATCAGAGCGACGAAGTCAGAGCAGAGAGATCGGCAGTAACGGCCGAACACGTTCGATAACTGTCCATCGTTCCAATCTGTCTATCAAATCGACTTTCTATTTAAATGTACTTGCATAAGCGCTTCAAGTGCCAAACAATCTACATACACACACATTGCTGCTTTTCAATTAAACTGGATAATCAGGTCTATCCGTGCGGGTCTGTCGTTGTGGGTCTGTAGGTGAAACGATATGGTTGTGTCAGTATGAGGTTGTCGGTTAGTCAGTACGGGTCAGTCAGTATGGATCTGTTTGCAGAGATCCGTCAGTTTGGCCCCGTGGTGACGAGTTGGTCAGCACGGCCCCGTCTGACAGTCAGTACCGGTCAGTCAGTATGGATGTTTGTACAGGACCGCCAGCTTGGCTCTGCGGTGACGAGTCGGTCAGCACGGCCCCGTGGTGACGAGTTGGTCAGCACGGCCCCGTCTGGCCACTGACCGGTATCGGGCCGGAAGAGGCGCGGCACGGGCCGGCCGCCCTGGCGAGTGCAGTGCACGATCACGCCCGTGTCCGTGCTGACGTAGATGTGGCTCGGGTCGCTCGGGTCGATCCGGAAATCACTGGCCTCGGTAAACATCCCCTGCTGGTTGCTGCCAATAAAGAACACATGGCCTCGGTAAACATCCCCTGCTGGTTGCTGCCAATAAAGAACACATGGCCTCGGTAAACATCCCCTGCTGGTTGCTGCCAATAAAGAACACATGGCCTCGGTAAACATCCCCTGCTGGTTGCTGCCAATAAAGAACACATGGCCTCGGTAAACATCCCCTGCTGGTTGCTGCCAATAAAGAACACATGGCCTCGGTAAACATCCCCTGCTGGTTGCTGTCAATAAAGAACGAGAGGTGGCGGGGGAGGCACTGACTCGGCACATCCTCGTTCTTCACTTGACTCCTCTGGCTGCTACTGCGTGCTAACGCTAATCCAACAGCCAAGTGACACTACAACCGCTATTATCGTAAAAAGCGAGTTCAACATTGGTGCTCGCTGCTCATATTGGAAAGCAGCGCAAAACAACCTAAACTTGCTAATTATTCACTCCTACACCCTGTAGCAGTTACAAGTGTTCCCTATTTTCCTCGCATATAGGTACGTGAACGTTGCAAATAACTCGATGAAAAGCTGTCATGTCAATGTTATTCACATAGCTAGCATAGGGTGATAATAGTTATATACCTACAGGCTACAACTTTCAAGGAGGTAACAACTTTTGCGGCTTTAGAATAAAAAAGGCAAAGACCATTACATCTCAGCAGCGAATGGCGAAAAAAGGAGAATCGGATCCCTCCGCGCACGGGATGCTTTCCCGGCTAGCTCACGTGTCGAGGAAGTCGTCGACCGAGACGTGGCTGATTTTCACCAGTTTGACCTTGCCCCAGGGCGCCAGGCCCAGGTCGCCGTCGAGCACCTCCAGGTTGTTTCGCTGCCGGGAGCTGATGGCCACCCAGAACACGAGTCGGCCGGCCGCGTCCAGACTGCACACCTGAACACCGGACAGACAGTCAGACAGTCAGTCCGACACACGGCCCGCCGCGTCCAGACTGCACACCTGAACACCGGACACACAGTCAGACAGACAGACAGACAGACACACGGCCGGCCGCGTCCAGACTGCACACCTGAACAGCGGACAGACAGTCAGACAGACAGACACACGGCCGGCCGCGTCCAGACTGCACACCTGAACACCGGACAGTCAGTCAGACAGTCCGACACACGGCCCGCCGCGTCCAGACTGCACACCTGAACACCAGACAGACAGTCAGACAGACACTCAGACGGCCGGCCGCGTCCAGACTGCACACCTGAACACCGGACAGACAGTCAGACAGACAGCCCGACACACGGCCCGCCGCGTCCAGACTGCACACCTGAACACCGGACACACAGTCAGACAGACAGACAGACAGACAGACAGACACTCAGACACACAGTCAGACAGACAGACAGACACTCAGACGGCCGACCGCGTCCAGCCTGCACACCTGAACACCGGACAGACAGACGAACGGTCAAACAGACGGACAGACGGACGGACGGACGGACGGACAGATAGACAGACAGACAGTCAGACAATCAGACACACGACCGGCCGCGTCCAGACTGCACACCTGAACACCAGACAGACAGACGAACGGTCAAACAGACGGACAGACGGACGGACGGACAGACCGACACACAAACGGCCGGCCGCGTCCAGACTGTACACCTGAACACCGGACAGTCAGACGAACGGTGAAAAAGACAGACAGACAGACAGTCGACAGACAGACAGACAGGCAGACAGACAGTCAGATCCAGACAGACAGAAAGAGACAGACAGATAGACAGGCAGACAGACAGACAGACACCCGGCCGGCCGCGTCCAGCCTGCACACCTGACACCGGCCACGCAGACACGGTCAGGCACCACAGTCTGTCGCACACGGGCGGTCGTCCGAGGGGAGATGCGGGCGCCGGTGGAAGCTTTCCATCCACTCGGAGCGCGCTGAGCTATCTGGTGAGATGTGGGGCCGGTGGGAGCTGAGGAGATGTGTGGAAATGTGGGGGGGGGGGGGGAGACGTGTGTCGCCACTCACCTGTATGGCGCCCGGCTCCGTGTCGCCGCCGCTCTGGCCGGCCGCGGCCGCCGGCACGGGCCGCAGCGCCACCAGCCGCTCGGTGTGCGCGCCGCCACGGTGGATCTCGGCCGTGCTGTAGGTGGGCGAGCGGAGCGGCGCGCCGGCGGCCGACTGGCGCGCGCCGCTCTGCTCCGCGCCGGACTCGTGCAGGTCCCACACGTCCACCGAGCCGTTCGCCGAGCTGCCGGCGAGACATACACACATACAGACAATACAATACGGCGTACAGGTCCTACGTCAGCCGGGCCGCCGCCGAGACACACACAATAAATCAGATACACATAGATACTGCATACACAAAACATCGTATCATGAACAGACCAAATCACTGACATTATCATAAAGATAAAAACGACATCGTGACATAAACAATTAACATATTAACTCCTAAACATATTAACTCAAAACTTCAAATCGTATCATGAAAATAAGCTTTATGCTGATTTACAAAGGCAGTTTCAGGCACAATCTCTACTGACTATTCTGAACACTTTTTAAGTCTTCACAGGCCAGTTTACCAACAGCAAAAAACCCCAGCTGCCGTTTTTTTTTTTTTTTTTTTGAAGTCTCCCACAACTTCAACCAGCCACGCGAAAATATACCGTTGATGTTAAAACATATCAATTCACTTGAAGTCAATGCATTTCACATTAGCGGCCATTTTCCGCGTGAATGGCGAAATTCGGGGTGCCATTAGGCAAAAATAACCGCAGCCGGCGCTTTTCCTGTTTTGCGAAACTGGCCTCACAACGAAGTGAGACGCGTGCGTTTCGGCAGTCTGTCTGACGTCTGTGGGACGTCCGTGTACAGTAGTCGGCCGGTAGGAGGTCTGTGTAGGGGGGGGGGGGGGGGGGCTCAGGACGGTCTGTGTTCGGGCACAGACTCTATCCGTACACAGCGGGGCAGGCTCTGTCGCTGACCGCCGCCCCCCCCCCCCCCCGTGTCAGCCGTCAGTGCGCGCCGTATCCATTCCGTACCCGGCAAAGGCCAGTCGCGGCTTCAGCGGCGAGAAGCAGCAGCAGACGGGCTCAGCCGAGGTGATGAGTACCTTCTGCGGCCGGGACGGCTCGCTGACGGACCAGACGCACACCAGGCCGCACCGGTCGGCCGACTCCGGCTGGCGGAGAGGGGAGAGAGAGAACGTCACCATTACACCACACCACACCAGGCCGCACCGGTCGGCCGACTCCGGCTGGGGGAGGAGGGAGAACGTCACATTACACCACACCACAACAGGCCGTCACCAATACACCACACCAGGCCGCACCAAGCCGCACCGGTCGGCCGACTCCGGCTGACGGAGGGGGGAGAACGTCACATTACACCACACCACACTGTCACCATTACACCACACCACACCGTCACCATTACCCAAACCAGGCCGCACCGGTCGGCCGACTCCGGCTGACGGAGGGGAGAGAACGTAACATTACACCAAATCAGACCGTCACATTACACCACACCACACCACACCACACCACACTAGGCCGCACCGCTCGGCCGACTCCGGCTGACGGAGGGGAGAGAACGACCGTCACCATTACACCAAGCCGTCACCATTACACCACACCAGGCCGTCACCAGTACACAACACCAGGCCGTCATACCACACCACACACCACACCACACCAGCCGTCACATCACACCACACCAGGCCGCCCCGGTCGGCCGACCCCGGCTGACGCAGGGAACACAGCATGTTTCACGTCACATTCTGCGCACAGAATGTAAAATACAGGCTGCGAAACAAGTACATACACTGCCACATCTCGGCGCTGCTGCACGTACTCATAAAACTATCATATGACGATGCAGATTGCTACCGCGCTATGCTGCGAAACTGTAACATTATAGATACCGGTATAATAAACCAGTATAACGCCTTTTGGGGCGACTAACGGAGCGAGCGAGAGGGTGGGCCTTGCACGTGCGAAATTGCGAGGGGGTACCTCCAACTGACTTGTGCACGGCACCCTACTAACTGGTCTCTAGCGATGTGCCAAATTTGGGCACAATCGGCCCAGCCGTTCTCGAGATCTGGAAGCGGCACCCTGCACGTGCGCACGTGCAAAATGGGTCCCAACTGACTTGTGCACGGCACCCTACTGTTACCGGTCCCTAACCGTGTACCAAATTTGAGCGCAATCGGTCCAGCCGTTCCCGAGATCTGGAAACGACCCCTGCACGTGCGCACGTGCAGCAGCACCCCAACTCTGGCACATGTATATGCAGTGCCTAGTGGGTGCCTACCTACATGCCAACTTTCAGCGCAATCGGCCAAGTAGTTACCGAGATATTGCAACAATTACAAAACTGACACCTCTTCGTTTTGCACGTGGCACGTGCATAAGGGGTCACCCACATGCATCGGGAATAGTGCAATACTTGGTAGAAGGAATGAAGCTACCCTACAAAAATTACCGCATGTAAATCGGTCAAGTGGTTGCTGAGATATAAGCCTCGCAAAAGCGTGACCACGGCCGGCCGGCCGGCCGGCCGGCCGCTCATACTCAGAAATTTCCGTTAATCTAAGGAAAGACTACGCTCGCTTCGCTCGCTCCGTAACAATAAATGTACAGTAATCGGTAATAATCAACGATACCGCACAATGCACATCCGTGGTTCTTTGGATTCCTTGATGTGATTCGAGCTTCATTTTGGGCGGACGGGCCACCCATTTTGGCGCCCTGTACTCAGTGTGCCCCTCCTATACTCCTTAGAACTGAGTGGAGCCCCCACTGCGGGTAAGGAATGCCGCTGAGAACAGGGAGCCCACTCTGCCGCTGAGCCCAGGGAGCCCAGACTGCCGCTGAGAACAGGGAGCCCAGTCTGCCGCTGAGAACAGGGATCCCAGTCTGCCGCCGAGGCCAGGGAGCCCAGTCCGCCCAGTGCTGAGCCCAGGCAGCCCAGTCTGCCGCTGAGCCCAGACAGCCCAGTCTGCCGCTACCGCTGACCTGTTCCGGATCGGAGGCGCCCTTGGCCTGCTGCGGGTCGGCCGGCCGCGCGGCGTGTGCCGACACCAGCAGCCGGCCGTCCGAGTCGCTGAAGCTGACGAAGGTGGCCGGCCGGCCGGCCAGCAGGTCGGCCACGCCGCCGCCCAGGCGCGCCGCGGCGCTGCTGAAACTGAGCCGGCCGGCGGCGGCGCCGCCCGCCTGGCCGCTGTCCGACCGCGCCGCGCCCTCCTCCAGCAGCATCAGGATACACTGACGGCACGAGCACGGGGCGGGGGTGGATCATACACAAACACAGTACAGTGGGGACACGGGGACGGTGGGTCGGTCACACACAAACACAATCACGAGAGCGAGTAGCTCGGGTACAGGAGCATACAAAGACATGGTCGTAAAGGGGTACATAAATGTCATCATATTTTGTGTTCAGCCATTAGTCATAACTTTGATTAAGTTTAACCGTCATTATGATTTCGGAGCAAGGTGTCAGGTGCGGCTCAGACCCCCGCCGCACGCCCCCCGGTGTGTATTTAGGGCCGCGCCGGTGACGTACCGATCCGGCGGCGCCCAGGAAGCGGTTGAGGCGGATGGCGCTGCTGTGCAGCCGGTCCTGCCGGTCCCGCTCGTCCTCCTCCATGTCCCCGCCGACACCCAGGTAATCCTGTGGGGACACACAGCACCGCCCGGCGGCCAGGTCACCGCGCGGCCCGGCGGCGGACAGGTCACCGCGCGGCCCGGCGGCGGACCCGTCCCACGCCATCCTTCCATAACAACGGGCAGTGAACGTAAGGCCAAATCACAACTGTCGACGTCGGTCGCTGCACTCCGTCATCAAACAAGGTTTCTCTAAAACTCAATTCAATCAAAGCTTTGCAAGCCAATCGTACAATAGGGTCGCACAGCTAACTAAATTAAATGTCTCAAACCAAGTTTCGCGAGCCTCACGTTCGACCAAAAGATCCCAATGAGTTGATGTCTGTGTGTGAGTGCGGACTCACGTAATAGGTGGGCCCGGTGACCACCTCGCCCTCAGCGTTGGTGGTGACCCGGACGTCGAACTGGATCGGGTGCTGGGTCCACTTGTGGCGGCACACCACCTCGTCCGTCTGAACCTCCTCGGCCAGGTCGTCCTCGTTGGTCTGAGAGGTGCCCTGTCAGGCGCACAGGCACAGGCCACACTCACACCACAGGCACAGGCCACTCTCACACCAGAGGCACAGGCTACTCTCACACCAAAGGCACAGACCACACTCACAAACAGCGGCACAGGCCACACTCACACCAGAGGCACAGCACCAAAACTCACATACCTGCGGCACCGCACCAAACTCAGACACTAGCTCCAATTCGCTGTCAGTAATTGTTAGACCCGTCTTCGGAATTGATAGTTCTTTGAGATGGTTGCAGAATCGTGAAAAAAATGAGTTACAATTTACCCAGATAACTGTTTAAGTTGAGTCCGAGTGCCCAAAATAATGATGTGCGCAACACGTCCGCCCGGAAAACACTTGTCTGTTCCAGTTGGCACACGTCTTCTGAGGCTGCCAGCGTCTGATAGCCGCCCCTCCCCGCTCCTACCGCCGCCGCCTGTGCCTACCTGCTGCAGGCCGGACTTGCCGAAGTTTGCCACGATCTGGTCGTACGATGCCGGCTCCATCTCAAACAGGTCAAAGTCCTGCTCGAACAGCTCGATCAGCGAGAGCAGGGCGCGACCGCGGCCCTGGCGCTTCTGAGCAGACTGCCAAACAAAGGACGGAAATAGAGCATTACTCATCATATAAACTTCTGAACAGTAATTGATCACCCAACTCGCTGCACAGTCTGAGGTAGAAACTTCTATTCTAAATGGAGATGAATATTTAGTGCTGCCTTACTTCCCTGTGAACCCTCGGTACAGTATCATTCACTGGAAGTGAGTCACATCAGCCTGCGCCGGCCGGCCGGCTGCCGCTCGGACCGGCGGACTCTCCGCGACGGCCGGGCGCGGGCTCACCTTCCTGCGCTGCTGCTCCTTCTTGGCGTGTGAGAAGTCCACGGAGCGCGAGGGCTGCGCGCCGCCGGCCGGCTCAGCCGCCGGCTGGGCCACCTCGGCAGCGAACGTCACCGGCACGGACGGCCGCCGCTTCTGCTCGGCCGGCGGCGGCGGCGGCGCGCGCGCCTTCTTCTGCTTGTGAAACTCCTCACTGCAGTACCAAACAATACGTGTGAAAGAGCAATTCACAATGTTCGAATTGTGAAATGATCACCAAAGTCCCGAAATAAAAACTCTGACGTCACCAGAAAACCAGTACTTCGTTTTTTTAACCCTCGCACGACCAGGCCATTTCTCATAACACGAACGACCAGGGGGGGGGGGGTTGTTACGACCCCCCCTGGCGTTTCGAAACGGAAGGTCGTAGAGCTTAGCGGAAAAAAACAACGGATTGCTCTCAACGAGATCTCGCGATTGGTGGTATATTTTTTGGTCCTAGGTCAACATTTGACCTACTTATGACCGGTCAAAGGTCAAATTTTCCGAAAAAATCAAACTTTTTCAACTTTGCGCAACGATTGCGGCAAAACGGTGAGAGATATTAACTTCAAACCTTCAACAACGTATTCCCCACTCAATTCTGCATCATATATGGTGTTTTTGGTGTATTTACCCTATAAAAGAAAGAGGCCTATTGCTGATGAGTGATATGGTGTCACATCACACTCCGGTGTTTGTCCCGATTCGTCGGCTGTTGACCACTGCTCCGCTATAAATACTGTAGGTAACGACTCAGAAAAGATATGTGGATATCCACTGCAATGTGGATAGCATCAGCAGAAAAACTCGGGACTCGGTACACACTTCGTGAAAATCCGGCCGGAGGCTGTACCTCTTATGACGTCATAACTCCGTGACCTGACCTGACCCGGTCAATTTTCTTGCACCACACGATAGCCAATGCTTGCCCCAACATGCATGGGAAGTTTCATCATGATCCATCAAACAATGTGGGTATCACCGGCAGAAAACCTAGGGATTCGGCGCACACGTTTGGTAACTGTCGGCCGGAGGCTGTACCTCTTATGACGTCATAACTCCGTGACCTGACATGACCCGATCATTTTTTTTCGGCAAAAGATGCGCAAAGGTTGCCCCAGAGGGTATTGAAAATTTCAGCCCGCTACGACAAGCCGTTTAGCGTGCACTTCGAAAAAACCTCAGGGGGGGGGGGGGTGATACAACCCCCCCCCCCTAGGCGTTCTAGGGTTAACAATATTAGTACACATTTTCATATGTGTACTAATATTAACTGCATGCTTTCTGATGCAGTTAATTTCACTGCGATACAGCCACGTAACCGTTCGGTCGTGGCCAACACCAAGCTTTCCAGTGTACCGGGCCGAGTTCTGCCCCCTTTTGAGCAGCTCCGCTAGCCGGTTGGCGCTGACAGCCCATGTGTAATATACAAGTTACAACTATACCCGGCCCCCACTATAAAACAATGACAAAGTTATCGCAGGACAAAAGAGCACACGCAGTGGTCACATTGCACCCCGCACCAGGCGCCCCCGAGTGCGGCGGGCGCCGCCCGAGTCACTCACGCGTCGAACGTCTCTGCACGTTTGTTCTCCGAGTCGATGGCCTTTTTCAGCTGGTCGGGCTCCCAGTCCTGTTTGGCGTACGTGTCGGCAGGCGGCTGGAACTGCTTGCGCGGCACGGCTGTGGCCAGCCGCTTCGAGTGCGTGTTCGGGTTATTGGCCGGGCTGAGGACCTGAGGATCGGGATAGACGGCTGACGGGATGACCGGCACACCGGGATCGGAGGAGTCCTCCTCCGAGTCAGAGGAGGAGGGCGACGAGGAGGAAGAGGAGGCAGACGACGAGGAAATGTCTGGCTCGTCCTCATCTTCCTCAAAATCGTCCTCGAAATCATCCCCGTACTCCTTTGAAGAAAAACATCAAGTGGTTAACCCTCGCCGGCACAGGGGGGGGGGGGCGTTGATGCAACCCTCCCTAAGATTTTTTTTCGCGAATAACTCGTGTAAAAAGCGGCCGATCGCGACGAAACTTTAAATACCCTCGCATTGATCAATTTTACACCTAACCTGAAAATTTCATGACCCTGACCAAATGACCTTTAACCTGTGACCTACTTTCCGAGACCATGTTTGGCCGGAATCGCGATTCGGCGAATGTCGGCTCGCATTAGCGCATTAACGGCGAGAGGTCCGTACTTCCATGGCCATGTCGTACGGCGAACATCGATGCTTCCGGCGAGGGAAGTCTCTATGCATCCAAATTGTCCTCTAATACCTACTTTTAATCTAAGTAACAGTGCCTATGGTAAACATAATGCTGCACCGCAGCATAATCCTGCTTTGACAAAGTTCCTCACAATTTACATACTTTTCAATTTAAATTCTATCTGTTTCAAATAGGAATTCATCTTTTTCTATAAGCGGTCCAACTTTCTTTGAATTGTAGGAAAAAGCTGTGGTTGGCAGAATGCCTGCACTCTGCAGTTACGCTGAGCTGCAGTGACCAGTAATTTCACATCTCACCGCTAGATGGCAACAGCGGAACGCCTGCAGTCATGCTGGGCCGCAATAACCGGTAACTTCACCTCGGGCCGCTAGATGACAGCAGCAGAAGGCCTGCAGTTATACCGTGCCGCAGTTACCAACAACTTCACCTCTTGCCGCTAGAAGGCAGTAGCAGAACGCCTGCAATTATGCTGTGCCGCAATGCTCAGTCTTTTCATCTTTCGCCGCTAGATGGCAGTAGCAGAATGCCTGCAGTTATGCTGTGCCGCAGTGAACTGTAGCTTCACCTTTCGCCGCTAGATGGCAGTAGCAGAACGCCTGCAGTTATGCTGTGCCGCAGTGACCCGTTACTTCACCTCGGGCCGCTAGATGGCAGCAGCTGAACGCCTGCAGTTATACTGTGCCGCAGTGATCAGTCTCTTCACCTTTCGCCACTATACTAGCAAAATATGTGCCTAGTGCTTGCGCCTGCACTAGGCACTAGCAAAACGCCTACTGTTAAACTGTGCCGCAGTTATCACTAGCTTCACCTCTCGCCACTAAATGACAGTAGATTAAGAACGCCTGCAGCTATACTGTGCCGCAGTGACCAGTTACCTACTTCAATCTTGCCCTTTACATGGCAGTAGTAGAACGCCATGCTAAGGGTTGAACGTCAAACCTTTGAACGCATCATGTTCTTGTTCAAACGCTACTTCGCCAAACGGTTATTCCCTTTCTCAGATGTAGTTATATTCCTCCCCTCCATCATCGGATATCAACTTTTTGGTATTCCCACCAACAACGAATCACATTTGGAAGGCATGTTTTCCTCTACATACCTACTCGTGTTGTTTTGGACATTTTTTGAGTAGGGGGGGGGGGGGGTCATACCATGGCGTAAAAGAGACTTATTTATTTAGGCCCAAGCGATAAGCCGCAAAGGAAAATCACATCCTTGATAGAACGGTGACTGTAGAGAGGGAAGTGAAAAAACTTACGCTCAAAAACCTCAAATATCAGATCCTGCGTGGATTTTACCTTTCCCTTTCATAAGATCAAACTGGCATTTTTCATCCGCTCACATCCAGCTCTCGCCAGATGTGCCTCTAAAACCATGTGAGGAAATAAGTATACACATTACACGTATGTGAGCTTACCTCGAAGTCGTCCTCATATTTTGGCGTCGGCGTTTTGCGCGGAGGCGGCTCGGGAGTGGGCGCCTTGGCCTTTTTCGGCGAGATCGGCTCCGAGGATTTCTTCGCTTTGTGATCGCCGTTCTCCTTGGGAGCGGCGTCAGCGACATGGGCTTTGTTAGGAGATGCCTTTTTAGGCGACGTTTCCGGCTTCGACGACTTTTTGACATGACTTCCATCAGTTTTAGCAGACTTTTTCGACTGTTCCGTCTTTTTGGAGGCATTGGCATCTGCCTTCGATGGTTGAGCCTTGTGATCTTTGGACGCCTTTGCTGGCTCCTCTGGAGCCTTTTTCGACTTCAGTGACGACTTTGAGTCTGCAAAGGAAGCCGTCGTTTTATTGAAAAGTGGCAATGTAGCAGTTAAACAAGTCCACCTCTAACGGCGGGCCAGCACTCAGCTGATAGCTCGTTACTTGTTAGCTAGCTGGTCATGGAGGGAAGATACGGGACGCACTAGGAACACGAGCTATTTCAAATCGCCGATCGTGAAAACCAACAAAGCCATTGAGAAGCACAGCATATTGCTGATTTTCGCAGCCAGTGTGCTTATATAACGTCGTTGGGAAAGCTGGTCGACTCGGTCTGGTCCTCGCCGATAAATAATGCCAAATAAAAGAACACGTAAGTAAAGACACGTTCTACTAAACAAAAATGATGATTGAATAACGACGGAAATGGTTGGGACGATACTGACATCCCAACAGCATTAATTCAAGGTACAGTAGTCACTTAAAAAGGGTCAAACAAGGCAGCGATCCACTCCTGACAGGCGTGAGTGCAACTGTACCTTTGGTAGAACTTTTATGATGTTCACTTCCTGTCTTCTTGACCTTCTTGACGTCAGTTCGGGGCTTTCCCGTTCTTTCATCCTTTGTTACCGAAGTTTTGGCTTTCTCCTTAGTGTCAGCTTTACTTGGGCTTCTGCCAGCTCGCTTCTGAGTGTCTTTGGTGGACTTCTTCGGCTCTTCAGCTTTTCCTTTGCCTTTAACATCGCTCTTTTTCTGTTCTTTTGCTTTGTCTGGCTTAACTTTCGTTCTACTTTCACCTTTCATTTTGCTGCCTTCTTTCTTGTTCATGTTCGGTTAGCAGACACATATTTGGGTGACCACAGCTTCTAGGCACCTATGTAACAGAAGAAATGATTAAAATGTGCCCTAGGTCGTCACACATTTGAAGACAATCACTTAAGCCCTAGGTTGCCACCCATTTGAAGACAAACACTTAAATGTTTTTACTTGAGCAAATTACTGAGCACATAATCTGTGAAATGATGGAGCAAGAGACCAAGTGTAAAGTACCCCTTTATATTTTCAAAGTTTTGAGGTGTATTTAATCATCCGATGCCCCAGAAAATACATTTGAGCTCCCCAGTGTCTAAACTCTTAAGTTTACATGGGATATGCGGTGCCTAGCTGATAATAACCCTGCTTATATACATATATTTAATGTTTTGTTAGTCACACATCACAAGAGATAAAAAAAAACAGTTATCAGGCCTATCAAAAAGCAAAAATAAAAAGCAATATTGGAAATGTGATTTAGCCTATGGCAGGCTCAACCAGCTTGCATCCAGTGGTACATATTATACTAACAGTTAAAAATAACTGTTCCTAGCACCAAAAATAATCTATAAAATTATACAAATACCTATACCCAAATGAATCTGTGAGTGGGAACCCTAAGCTGAGTGGCTATTATCCTGATAACCAGCCAAATTTTACCAACTGCAATTATAATGAGTTGCAGTTGGTAAGCTCAGTTGGAGACTGAAGCAGGGGGTGAAATCTCCCTTTTGCACCTTAGGCCCAAAAAGAAATAAAGCTTTGGTTTGATTTAGTATGGTTTGATTCAAAAGCATCTGTGGGTATAATGTATATGCGCCTGACGCCTCTCTTTGGTTGCAAAAAACAAGTGTGACACCTGCTTTACAACTACCAAAAATTGTTCCTACAATCATTTAATACTAAAAAATCCAGTACACTATAAGCAAAAATAACCAAATCTAATCTAACATGAGCTCTGTTCGGTCCCTGCAATAGGAACAATGAATAGACCACATGCTTTCGACCAATGAGGAGCCAAGGAACAGCAGCATGTATATATTGAGACGGACACAACACCCGAATGTGTTGTGTCCGTCTCAATATATACATTTGTCTTTTACTCAAACAGCAGCTTGCTTGCAGCCTGCCGATAAAAACTGAGACCGACAGCACCCTGGCCTAACCTTACCTAGCGTAACATAACCTTACCAGACTCAACCTGTGGACTGTAGTTGGGTGCAGCTTATAAATGCTTTGTGTAAAAACATTGTAAGCATTGATGTGTCAGTGTGGTCTCATTTTGAAACCAAAACCTTAGAATGGTGTGTTCTTTCTTTTCAAATTTTTGTTTTGTAAGGTTCATCAGATTCTAAGGGTGCAAATTCACTGCAAAAGGAGGAAATAATTGAGTCCTGGGCTGTTTTGATCATTGGTTGCACATTTGAAGTAAAATCTTGTTGACTCACTCACGTTTAAACAATATTCTTTTTTTAAGTTTGAATGAACAAACTGAATTGGCTATGTGCACCAATGAAATGACAAGGCAGCAGTCATTAACTGAAATAAAGTAGCACTATTGTGAGACTGCTCAGTTAACAAACCAATAATCTAACTACAAAATACAAAAAAAGAATCTTATTACAAAATACAAACCAATAATGATGTGCTCACCACAACCATTCGTTACGACTTGCGAACATGAAATATTGAACGTCCAGGCCTTCGGAGTAAGAATAACTACGAGCCCAAGACTATAGAACTATACGAATCCTATTATAAAATGTAATATCGGTGTAAATGCAGTAAAATGCGGTGGAACCTATTCTATCTGTAAGAATCTTGGTGGATTGGTGGAATCTCTTGTGGATGACTTCAAAAGTGCCAGGAATCTGACATAAGCAAGTTCATTATGTTATTTAATAAGCTCAACGAATTCAGGAACATAAATGATTAAAATAGTTCACATTTATTGTACGTTAAAATACAGTGAAAATAAATCATCAAAACAAAAACAATAATTTTCAATACATAGGTATATAGTAAAATAATAGTTATTCATCAAAATTTTGTGTACTTCCTTCGTAAGTTATTCAACAATATGGCGCAGCTGATACAAAATATGACGCAGCAGAAAACAAAACATTCCTCTTCGGGGAAATTCGTCTAGAGTGGGGCTGTAGAGTTAGTACCGACTTTGGACTCATGTATCATATCATTTCTTTCTGAATATCATTGGCCTGCTGTGACGTTTTTTTTTGTTGCATCCATATTATTAGTCATGGTCAAAATCAAACTGCTGCTTGTCGGCCCGGTTCAGGTGAGCGTGAGGTCCAGTGGGATTTGAAACGCTCAGGTCAGGTGCTCCTATGCTTCACCAATTTCCAGTAGGCATAAGCATCATATGAGAAGAGTGCGTTGGGTCTAAACAGTAGGAGATAATTGCAAAAAAATGTGTTGAACGGGAGGCTGCAGCCTGCAGGACAGGCGAAGCATCGAAGTATACAGGATAGGACGCCACCGACCACCGATCGCGACACTCTGGCCGGCACCGTCTCTCCAATGCTTGCTGTTTATCCAAGTTGTTGTTTTAGTTGGTTATTTTTCATATCCTCTGTGTTCATCCATTCAGGTGGGGAGGGTGCTAGGGTTTTGACCGGGAACTGAACTTCGCTACCGCCCACCAGTTTTGTCTCGCGGCACGCTGATGTTTCCGATGTTCTTTGTACTCTGATTGGTATATGGGCCTTGCTCTGATTAACCTTCTAACCTTTGTGAGACGTCCACCACCACGTGTGCTAGAGTAAAGAGCAGGCCCGCCGTTTCTTTGCGCTTAGCTTCTCTCTCTCTCTCTCTCTCTCTCTCTCTCTCTCTCTCTCTCTCTCTCTCTCTCTCTCTCTCTCTCTCTCTCTCTCTCTCTCTCTCTCTCTCTCTCTCTCTCTCTCTCTCTCTCTCTCTCTCTCTCTCTCTCTCTCTCTCTCTCTCTCTCTCTCTCTCTCTCTCTCTCTCTCTCTCTCTCTCTCTCTCTCTCTCTCTCTCTCTCTCTCTCTCTCTCTTTCTCTCTCTCTCTCTCTCTCTCTCTCTCTCTCTTTCTCTTTCTCTCTCTCTCTCTCTCTCTCTCTCTCTCTCTCTCTCTCTCTCTCTCTCTCTCTCTCTCTCTCTCTCTCTCTCTCTCTCCCCCTGCTCCTGACCCTTACGGGAGAGGAGAGGGGGGGGGGCGCCGGAAGCCAAGCTGCAGCCGCGTGCTCACGCGGGTGGCCGTGGCCCGTGGGCTATCCTGAGTGGGCTACCTCCGAGGAGTCGCGTTACCCAGCACCTGCAGCCTACAGACCCAGCGGCCAGCTGCGACTCGCCAGCTCCTTCAGCTTCTTCAGTTGTAGGACTCCTAGTCATATAAGGTGTATGTATGTACATTGTACAGTCTGTCTTAAAAGTACCGCGCAAAGTGGCGGTGGATCCATCAAGCCTGACCGAGAAAGGGCCTGTTTTAATTTAAAAGTCACCGACCAATTGACCTAGGGAATGGATAAGGATGTCAGTTGCTTCAGTGACCCAAATTTAGCAGACCCTTGCTCAGTCAGGCTCGATGGATCCACCGTCACTTTGCGCGGTACTTTTAAGACAGACTGTACAGTCTGTCTTAAAAGTACCGCGCAAAGTGACGGTGGATCCATCAAGCCTGACCGAGGAAGGGCCTGCTATAATTTGAATGTCACCGAACCAATGGAGCTGGGGAATGGACGAGGATGTCCATTGCTTCGGTGACTCAAATTTGGCAGTCCTTCATCGGTCAGGCTTGATGGATCCACCGTCACTTTGCGCGGTACTTTTAAGACAGACTGTACACGGTGCAGCTATCAACACAATACCCAATTAGACCCAATAATACCCATTGTCTGCCAGTGGATGGCTCGCAGCCCTGGATAGGAGCAGTTCCATGAATGGGGAAGTCGTATATCCAGCAGCTCCCGCCGGCGCGGCTGCTGGTTGGGGCGCGGTGGTCTGCCCCTCGCGACGTTTACGTTAAATGGATTTTTTTTTGTACGTCGAAGGTTTCAAGGCTCAAACGCCTTAAAAAGGTTACAGATGAGGTCTAAGTCTGCTTCACAGTTCCACGACGTTTGTCATGTGCAACACTCAGGACGACTTATGTGCGCCATCGAGAATGCTTTTATAACTATTTATCACAAGCCTCTCATTTTTTTTTTCAGTCTGGGAAGACGCACCTGGCCAATTTCCTGGCGGACGCGTTTGAATTCTCTGGCGACGAGTACTGGCCTACGAAGGGCGCGCGGATTCTCGAGTTTGACGTGCGGGACATCAACGTCAACAACAGGAAGGACAAGGTGGACGTGGAGCTGTGGGACGTCAGCGGCGACCGACAGTGAGTGGACGCGCGGCCCGGTGTCTGTCTGCCCAGTGTTTGTCTGTGCAGTGTGTCTGTCACTGACGTGTGTCCGCTGACGTGTGCCCGCTGTGCAGGTACGAGGGCTGCTGGCCGGCCATCCAGCACGAGGCCAACGGTGTACTGTTCGTGTACAGCGCCTCGCGGGTGGAGCGCGACGCCCGCGAGCTGGAGGCGCTCTACACCAGCTTCGTGCAGCAGCAGGGGCTGCGCGACTCGCAGTGTCTGGTGATGGCGCACCAGCAGGGCGCCGACCCCGGACACGCCGGAAAACTGCGTCAGTACCTGCCCCAAACGACAGCCGACCAGCGGCCGCTTCTGTGCCATGTGCTCAACGTACTGGGTCTTATCCATGCTCGACTCACCATTGTTGATTTAAATGGAAAATTTTAACATAATGCATTTCTGAAGATGTAAATGCTGCTGCTTGATAGACAATTGAGGGTGGCAAATGTTTCAATTCAATGGTATAGATGAGTTTTTTTTTGTATAACATTTCAAAATAATTAGTCTCTAAACGGCGACGCTCATCAAAAGTCTTAACGTAAGCAGCGATCACTGCCTCATGCACTCAGTGCAGAGTCTATTGAGCCGCCGTCGGTCGGCGGCGCTGCCCCGGCGCGCGGTGTGTGACCTCTGCCCCGGCGCGCGGTGTGTGACCTCGTCCCGGCGCGCGGTGTGTGACCTCTGCCTCTGTGTGACCTCTGAGTCTGACCTCTGTGACCTCTGTGTGACCTCTGCCCCGGCGGCGGCCGCCAGCCGGCTCGTCGTTCGCCACCATCCCGCAGGTGGACGCCAACCTGGACGCCAACACCAACCAGATCCGGTCCGACTTCAACGGCTACGTGTCCCAGGTGGCCGGCATGGTCAGCGAGGCGCGAGAGAAGGCCGAGCGCGACATCGTCGGCAAGTGAGGCCGCGCCGCGCCGCGCCCACAGCGGCAGCGAGACGGCGGCGGGGCGCCGGTACGGGATCAGCTACCATCCACACATTACCAATCAGAACCACTATAGGTTGTTTGGCTTTCAAGTAATTATGTGTTGGAGGAAGCAATGAACTTTTCTGACTTAGCAGCGTGACATGCGTTTCCTGCGTGTGCTTTATTCCGTATCACAATCCGTTTCCATATTTGCTGTCGTACTAACAAGCAGCTGAATATTCTGTAATCTGTCCAACTTTGCCGATATGTTCGGTCCAGGCAAGTGGAGAGCGCTGTGACGCGGTGGCCAGTCGCCGTCCGACGACGGCTCACGGCGGCAGCATGGACACGCACCTCTCGGTGGTTACTAGGCGGTGCCATCCTCATCACGGAACTGTGTGACGCCAGCGGTCTGTGGCCGTAATCGACTGAACTCTGTGCAGTGCACTTGTAAAGGGCATCACGTGTTGCTCCGTTATCGTGTGCGTCTCCGTCCATATTTACCACCTGCCTTATCCACGAGCCACGCGTTGTATAATAAAAGATGCAATTGTAGAATATCTTATAAATATATTCTTTGGGAACACGTGTTCGAAAACGATATACAACCCTATGACACTGGCACTGATTGGACGCGATATATGTAGAGTGTCTGCTAGGCGGTGCAGTAACGAGTCTAGCCTCACGTGCTACACTGGACGGAGTCGCAATGGACGGTCGGGACGCCGCCTCAGGCCGGTTCCGGCGGGGGGTCAGAGCCGCCCGGCCGGCGGGGCACGGCGCGGGGCGGGGGGTCAGTGCCGCTCGGTCGGCGGGGCACGACGCGGGGCGGGGCGGGGGGTCAGAGCCGCTCGGCCGACGGCCGGTGCCGGCGCACCAGTCGCCGCAGGCTCGCCAGGTCGGCGGCTGCGGCGCGCTGGCGCACCTGGTCCAGACTGCGCTCCACGGACGGCCACGTCTGCACCGTGTCGGAGGCGGCGGCGGCGGCGGCGCGCCGACCCGCGCACAGCGTGTCGTCTGCCGAGCGCACCGACTGCACGCTGGTGGCGCGCTGCAGGCTCAGGCGCGCCGGCTTCTTGGGCGGCCGCGGCTTGCCGTCCAGCGTGCTGACGCTGAAGGCGCTGCCCGTGTCCGAGTCGGCGGCGGCCGGCGGCGCGCCCAGCTGCTGCAGCCGCTGCAGTATGTTGCGCGGCTTCTGCTTGATCTTGGGCCGGATGTTCTGGTAGATGGGCCGGTGGCCGGCCGGCGGCTCCGGCTCCGACTCGGCGGCAGAGGTGGGGGTAGCCGGCGGGCCGTCCGTCCGGCCGGCCACGTTCACTGGGATGGTGGCCGTGTGTGGGCCCTTGGTGAACACCTGCACGTCCTTCTTGGTGCGGCGCAGGCTCTCGTCGGTGACGCCTTTGATTTTGTCCAGGTCGGCCTGCATCTCCTGCACCTGCTCGTCCAGGTAGCCGATCCGGTGGCTGAGCCGCACGTTTTCGGTGCGGTACGCCTCGCTGTCGCGCACGCAGCGCTCCTTCTCGGCGTGCAGCGCCTTGTTTTCGAGCGTCTTCTGTTCGAGCCGGCCGGCGAGCAGGGCCAGCTCCTCTCGGAGGGCGGCCAGCTCCCTGCCGGCGCCGCGGCGCGCCGCCACACTGGGCGGCTGGCAGCGGACCACCAGCAGACGCAGCGGCGCCGCGGCCGCGGCCGCCGCCAGCGCCAGCAGCGCCTCCTTGCGGTGGCCGAACACGTGCTCACCGTTCAGCTCCAGCACCCTGCGGCAGACGGATGGCCGGAGACGAGGGTCAGCGCAACTCAGAACCAAGTACACGCTGTAAAGAGACCGACAATCCAGACACCTCTCCATGGTTTTACAGTTCATAGGCATTACGTGCTCCCTCTCCCGCTGCCACCCGGGCGGGTCCCGGGGGGGGGGGGGGGGGTCGCTCACCGATCGCCCTTGCGCAGTCCGGTGCTGTCCATGGCCCACTCGATGAGCACGCCGCGGCCCGACAGGTGGGTGCTGACGGTGAAGCTGGGCGAGCGCGGCTCCCACTGCAGCGTCACCAGGTGCAGCGACGTCTCGGCACTGGTCGGCAGGCAGCTGCACGGACACACAGAGCCGAGGTCAGCGTCCGCACTTCACTCAGAGACCGGCAGACGGGGTCGGCGGGTTAGCGATGACGAGCCGATCGGAAGAGGGATAGCCGTTGACTAGCCCCGTTAGACAGTAACGATGTCGTCCTGACGGCTATCGTGGTGAGTTTCAGACAGTGCGAGCGAGATGTACCGGGCACACGGCAAACTGAACCAGTTGATTCGATTACTGGCAAATAAGGGATAGCTGAATGGGCACCGAATCCATCCATAGCAGAGAGCTAGCCAAGATCAAATGATGGGGGTGCGATAGGAATCCAGACTTTATATGAATCTAATTCTTAACGGTTATATGTAACGGAGTGCCAGGAGCGAGTGGCAAAGCCGTGCGACAAGCGGTGCGGTGAGGCCTGTCCGACTGGCGGTGCGGGTCTGTGAGACACGCTGTGCGGTGAGTCTGTCTCACTGGCGGTGTGGTGGAGTTTGTGTGGCTCGCTGTGCGGTGTGGTGGAGTCTGCGCGACACGCTCTGCCGTGGAGTCTGTCTCACTGGCGGTGCGACACGCTCTCTGACCTGGTCAGCGAGAGCCGGTCGGCGGCTGCCGGCCCGCCGCCGCCGCCGCCGCGACCCTCGGCGTCCTCCATCTTGGCGCGCAGTGTCATCTGCTCTGCCTGCAGGTCCAGGATGTGCAGCTCCTCTCGCTCCAGCTCGTACTCGAGCTCTGCTTGTCGAATGCACGCGTCGATGTTCCTGCGAGCGGACCACAGCGCGACCTCACACTACAGTGCACACAAAGCATAGGACAACGGCGTTACAGTCACAAGACGTCATTTGACGCACAGTTACACGTCAGCTCTGGCAAATGGCAGGGAAAGCCGCTCTAGGAACGGGAGGACACGTGTCGCTGCCCACATGCGGTATAATGTTTTACTCTCGATTTAAATAATCATGGGTGTGTCGGGAGCAGGCAAGGTCAGATCATGGGTCCGTGGTGTCAAAATCATTTCCTCATACAATTTACAAGCAAAACCACTCATACTGAATATCTAAAGCAAAACGATAAAAATATACATCACCACGCACTCTGAGGCCTCGAGTTTCTCCAGGGCGAGTCGGAGGTTTTTGGCGCGCGCGCGGCTGGTGTCCGTCTGTGTCTGCAGCCGCGAGAGGCGCTCAGTGAGCGCGCGCCGCTCGCGCTCCCGGGCCGCCCGCTCGGCGTCACTGTCACTCTGCTGGGCTGACTCGATCTGGCTGCGCAACCTGCCACAGGCCACACGGCTTCCGTCAAACGCGGGCGCACAACAACGGACGTGGCTTCTAAATCTGTTGAGTAATAGGCATTCAACTACAATCCGATATCGAAGGTACCTGGACAGCCATCGGCGACCAAAGGCAATGCTATGTAAACATCTTCTGCCATACTATTCAATGCTTTTACTCAACGGGACAACGGCATTGTAGTTGCAATCCTATCCAATACCCATTTACGAGGTCAACGTTAATTGATGTTTCCGAGTTAATGTCGGCCAACATCCAGCATTTCATTGCCAGACTATATTGTCTGGATGGTGCACTAAGTCCGTGGTCGGCTGCCGCCGCCGTGTGGCCTGCTCACCTCAGGATGGTCTGGTCCCTCTCACGGAGCGTGGTGTGCAGCAGCTCCAGCTCACGGAGCAGGTCGCGCGGCCCGGCGGCGGCCGGTACCGGTACCGGTACCGGTACCGACGCCGTCTCCTTCCGGCGACGGCTCGTGCCGGTCGTGGTGGACAGCGAGCTCTCGATACCAGCCATCTGCAGCCGGACAGTGGCCACACCGTCAGCGGACAGTCAGCGGACACCGTCAACGGACAGTCAGCGGACACACCGTCAGTAGACACAGTCAGCGGACACACAGTCAGCGGACACAACGTCAGCAGACACCGTCAGCGGACACACTAACAGCGGCCAAACCGTCAGCGGACACACCGTCAGTAGACACTAACAGCGGCCAAACCGTCAGCGGACACACCGTCAGCGGACACACCGTCAGCGGACACAGTCAGCGGACACACTACCAGCGGGACACACCGTCAGTGGACGCACTAACAGCGGACACACCGTCAGCGGACGCACTAACAGCGGACACACTACCAGCGGGACACAACGTTAGCGAACACAGTCAGCGGACAAACTGTCTGTGGACACCGTCAGCGGACACAATCAGCGGACACACTAACAGCGGACATACAGCCAGAGAACACGGTACTGGGACAGTTTAGCGTGCGTGCAACGCGGCGGCCGCCGCACCGTCAGCCATCAGAGCCAGTATGTGGAAGATTTGCCGTCAGGTGAGACCGTCGTATGCGGTTGGCGGTTCGATGAACCAATCTAATAAGTCTGCATCTTCCCATTAGCAGGGACACTACCGTACATACCTTGGCTTCCACGGTGGCCAGATGTGAGAGCGCCGGCGGCTGTTCAGATTTTCCGGAGCCGGCGCCGCTCAGTGACAGCGTGCTCTGCAGAACGGGGGACACGACGTCACACAACGAACAGCGTGCTCTGCAGAACGGGGGACATGACGTCATACAACGAACACCGTGCTCTGTAGAACGGGGGACATAACGTCACACAACGAACACCGTGCTCTGTAGAACGGGGGACATGACGTCACACAACGAACAGCGTGCTCTCCAGAACGGGGGACATGACGTCATACAACGAGCAGCGTGCTCTGCAGAACAGGGGACATGACGTCACACAACGAACACACCGACATACCAGCTGTACCAAATCTATTCGCAAAAACACAGCTTGACAGCTGACACCATATAGCCATGGAGGAGAGAATACATAGCTATCGATAGTCGGATAGCTGATTCCTAGTCTCTGTGTCAGTAGGTCTACTGGCCCATTTAAGCAGTCATGAAAAACGACTTTAAGAAACAAAGTTTAACCCGCGCTGTGCTGGTGGCCTGAGTTTTCTGTGTCGTGCTAGGGGGGGGGGGGGGAGGCGTTTTCACGCACCCCTCCCCACCCCCGTCTAGGCTCCTGGGCCACGTAGCGACACGCAGTTCTACATATATACCCTGCACGCAGTAAGCGGCAATCGAAAGAGCGTCAAAAATAATGACGGAACAATTTTAGTCATTTTTTAGGTCAGGTCAAAGTCCAGGTTACCAGAGGTCATCAAAGGTCAAATTTAGCCCTTTTCAACAATTTTGGACACTGCCAACGGCTAACTCGGGAACCAGTAGAGCTACAGCGCCGTGGAATGCCGCATTCGATAGCCCTTTTACAGACCTTTCTGACTGTCGTTCTCAGATTTGACCTCAGGTCAACAGTTGAGCCTCCAGAGTGCAACCAATAAAAAATAGCCGTTTTCACGAAACAAGTATTTCGGTAATAACTTTTGACTCAAGAGAGCCACGATATTAATTCTGCCAGCATCGTGTTCCTCTCGTCGAGGAGCGTCGAATGTACTGTTCATGGAGCTTGAAAGGTCATGTTAAAAATTTAACCTCAGGTCAAGGTCATGACCTGACCGGAAAGGGTCGTGTTGCATATCAGACGGTCCGTATCGTTGAGCTGAACATATCTGACATGTTTTCACCGCTCTCGCACGTCTCTATCAAAGGTTAAAATAAAAAACTGCTGGTGACTTTTCATGACCTGAGAAAAAAGTGTTTAAGAACTTGATAAACGTGTTTGACGTCTAATTACAGAATCCATATTATCTATCTGAATGTTCCTTATGATTTATAAATCAACGCATCCAGATATGCCACCACGGTGATTATTATACAGGGTCTTTCATAATGAAAGTTACTTTTGAACATTTAGTTAGGAGCTCTTAATTTACCATTTTCGCGTGAATTTTATATGCGTATTGTTGCAAATTGATCAGGGTTTTGTCCCAAAAAATAAAATAAAAATTCACAACACCAATTTTCCTTCACGGAAAAGCAGAGTACGTCGACACCACTAAAACGCATTACGGATTACGGTCGACGGACAAGTCTTCATCCAATTGGCTCTCCCCTGCGTCAACACTGAACGGGGTGGCTTACCTCAGGCTGCTCAAGGAATGCTTCTGCCTCAGGTCAGGGACAAGGTTCAAAGAGACGGCCTGTGGTTCCAGCAGGATGGTGCTACAGTGCGCACCACGGCAGCTGTTGCGCCAGTGGCTGATCGAAAATTTCGAAGAGCACGTTATCAGCCACCTCACCGAGCGACCGTGGCCACCACGCCCACGGAGTCCTGACCTCTCCCCGCTGGACTACTGGTTTTGGGGAGTCGCATTGGCAGATCTGAGACAAAACCCTCCTGCAGCCATCCACTGCGAACCACAGTGGAGAGGTTTGCTGGAAGCCTGGACCCAGACGTTGTGAGGCGCGGGGTGCGACACCTTCGTCAGAGGGCCGAAACCTGTGCCTTAATTAAGGGCGATACCTACAGTGGAAAATTCCTGAGGAGCATTAAAATGAAAGTTGTGTGTGCAAAAACGCTAATGTGTTTCTGTTCCATGTGATAGTACATATAACATGAGAAACATATATGTCCTGAGAAATAGCTCTTTCAAAAGTAACATTCATTATGAAAGACCCTGTACCTACCGGGTGTTCATTAATGAATGGAATAAAGTAGGTAGGCACCAGAAAGATATATTTTCATCTCACGTTATCAAATCACACTATGCATTTTCAAGAGGGTTTATCATTTATGATGACATCATCGCGATCACCGCTTGCCACTTGTGTCTCCTACAGGAAGTGCTCAAAGTAACACCTTCACTCCGCCACGCACGGCTCTGCCCGGCGCTGTGTGTGCCGGACCATCTTCCTCATCTGCTCCTCGCTTATGTTCTGGCGAAGTCCTCCACGACCTTTTTCAGTTATTTGATTGTTTCCGGCTCCGATTCTACCACGCAATTCAAAGCTTGGGTCCAGAACGAGAAATCCAGGCAGGACAGGTAGGGACTGTACTCGTATGCGGGCCAGTGCAGATGGGTACCTCCGCGCGACAGCGGCGTATTTAGAAAATCGCGAAGGGGGGGGCCAAGGGTTTGGAGGGCGCCACCTCACCCAAGGAGGGCGCCATACGGTCGCGAGATAAAAAATCGCTCAGTGGGGGTTGGGGGGTTGGGAGGCGTTTTTTTACCATGCCACCAGTTTTTTTTTTGCGTAACCTCGTATAGGTCGTGCTGCATTGATTTTGCATCGTGTGTATTCATTATACCTACTCCAGGTCACAAAAGGTCAAGTGTTCTTGAAATGCTGCGCCGAAGGCGCGCGAAATTTTTGAAAACAACCTTTTCCTCCGCTTTTTAGGCACGCCTTTTATACGATCACTGTTCAAAGCTCCTCTCGCTCTTTTACCAAATTTGAAGGTGTAAAAAATACCTAAGGTTTGGTCGGGCCGCTGCCACACAAACTGTACAGAAAGCTTGGCTCATGGGTGTCGATGTATAAAAGTTTATTGGCGGTGGCATATCTACGCACCAGATCACCGTATCGGATTGATACCGGAGCGCGAGATGCGTAAACATCATCCAAATGACCTCAGACCAGCCTTCATAGCCTTCTCACAGATGCATACAGTGTACCCACATAACCAGTTTCAATCGCCGAAACTTCAGATGCCTGCTGTTGCGCCCGAACCTGTTGACAAGACAATACTTAATCGTAATCCATATAGATGCCATGATGCACGTAAAGTAGGATCAATCCGTTAAGACCAAAGACGTGTTTTATGCATCGTAGAGCGTAGATAGTTTTGGTAGGTATAGATACTTCATTCATTGTGCTGAATGCACGTTCATTTGTGGCAGTTTTCAGAGGCAAGACATCAACTATGTGCAATAGAACGACTAAGTTGAAAAACATGCCAAAGGAGTAAATAAATGATAGGAGGGCAGCGATCAACGGATGTTGCCAATAGGTAGAAGGGCTGCGATCCACAGGAGGGCACTAATAGGTAGAAGAGCCCCGATCAACATCCCGAGTTTCGACAGTAGGGCACCGATAGGTAGGAAGTTGGCGAGCAGCAGGAGGGCGCCAATGGATAGAAGGGCAGCGATCAACAGGAGGGCACCAATCAACAATCAACAGGAGGGCGCCACCAGGTAAGAGGGTGGCGAGGAACAGGAGAGCACCAATAGGAGGGTGGCGATCAACAAGAGGTCGCCAATAGGTGGGAGGGCGGTCATCAACTGGAAGTAGCCAATGAGCGGAAGGGTGACGATTAAAATGGGGGTGGCAATGGTGAGGAGGGCGCCTTTGCTCAAGAGGATGACACGAACAGGAGGGCGTCTGTGCGGAGGGCGCTGGTCAACAGGAAGGTGCCAGTGGATAGGAGGGCGGTGATCAACAGGAGGGTGCCAGTGGTTAGGAGGGCGGCGATCTACACGAGGGCGCCAATAGGAGAAGGGCCCCGATTAACATTCAACAGGAAGGACTAGGGAACCAATAGGTAGGAGGGCGGCACTGAACAAGAGGGTGCCAAAAGGGAGAAAGGCGGCCTTCAAAATTTCACATGAGGGCTCAATAGGTAGGAGAGCGCCAATAATTATGAGGACGCCGATCAGCAGAAGGGCGGCAATGTGTAGCAGGGTGGCGACCTACAGGAGGGCGCCTTCGGGTGAGAGGGCGCTTAGTTACAGGACAGCGGCTTACATAGGCGACCACCGTTACGCTTAGAGAGCTACAGCCTACAAATGTGGTTGGAGGGCGCCCGAGGGAGCCCTCCAACCGTATTTGGAGGGCGTATTTGGAATGGGCGTCCTCCGAGGGCGCCCTCCATCCGTATTTTCCCTGTAAACACATTCGCAATTGGAGGGCGCCCTCCAGTCGCGATTGTTTTTCGATTCGATTATATCACAATTGCATTTGCGATTGGAGGGCGCCTTCGGCGCCCTCCAATCGCAAAGGGCGCCTTCGGCGCCCAAGGGGGGGGGGGGGGCCATGGCCCAGTGGCCCCCCCCTGCCTACGCCCCTGCCGCGCGAGATGATCCGATCGTTGAACTTCGATCGAGGGAGACCAATCATGACAGAATCAGGATCTTCCATACCTTTCCAATTGACATTTTAAGCTCTTCGCACGCCTGCCGAGCATGAGCTGTGGCATTTTTCCGGAAGAAATCCTTGACCTTTTCCATTTCACCAGGGGTCATCGGCTGGCGCCCGGAGCGCACACATGGCCGTGTCGCTGCAACCATCCTAAATCTCTCCACTAAACGCTGAAAAGCATTCAGATGTGGTATGTGGTATTGCTGCTGGTTTTCTAGGAGAAAGCTTAAGGCGGAAAGCCCGTATAACCACGGTAAGACTTTCCAACCCGGCACAGTTCTCCACAACCCAACCCGCTTGTTCATAATTGAACGGCGAGTTTGTCTTGAAGTGCCGATTTGGGCTCGTCGAAACCAGAGCCATTCATAAGCGTTTGGATAATGCTGTGATTAAAGTTATCATGTATTAAAAAATGATAAAGCCTATGTTTCATATTTACAAGGAAAAAATGC